CCAGTGAGCTGATGGCTGCACTGATAGACACGCTCTGCTGGTGTTATGCTTAAAAGAAGCACACGGGATCTTTTTCAGGGGGATAAGGCAATACGCCACATTTATTGATAATATAATGAAGTAGCATATGCATTTACACACACACACACACACACATCCTGCTGATGGAGTAGTTACCAGTCTGTTGCTTGGCTCGACCTATTGGCCAGATAAGTCGGGTGAGAGGAAGGAGCCGGGTTCGTTTCAGTTGGAACTGAAACTCCACTTGGTCGTTGCAAGACAGAACCCGAAGAACTATACAAGACACCCCACACTTTATAGGGTTTTTCTTCCATGCAAGTCTGTGCATGTTGCCTTGTCAGGCCTTGATCAGTCACTTGGCATCACAATCAATCTTCCTATGACATATGCTTATCAGGAAGAAGTTGTTCTCACAGCCATTTGATATCCGTATGCTGATGACCCCTCGGGGGTGTTGTCCTTCCAGTGAAAGTTGTTATCGATTCCCTATCAAGGGGTGCTTGCCACTAACTTCAGGGTCAGTCAATCTGCTCCGGTAGTCTGCGTCTTCAGTGTGCTTTCACTTAGTTGATAATTATTTGGTGCTTCTGAGTCTCCAGCCCCTCCTCTGATCATTTGAGCATGCAGTGGCCTTCACACTTATCTCTTCTAAAACATTCTCTCTCTCATTCACACAAACAATACATTTACAGAATTGCAGCATGGAACAAAGGGGTACTTCTAGACACTTTAACAAAGTTACAAAGTCTTTCAACATTTAACTTCTTTCTATCTATTACAAGGCCTTGTCTAACACTAACATCACTATGCATTACAATGTTCCGTCTCTTTACTTCAATATGCTAATATCAAACAGAGCTGGAGCTAAGTTAACAAAGCTGCCTGGTCTGTCTGAGGCCTACCTCTTGTATTTAACTTCAATACAAACCTTTTGCTATAACATACATTTATTATAACTGACATATTAGTTACAAAATTCCAATTCCAGTGCTACACTGGTATGCCCATGGATTTCACATTCCCGCCTGGCTGCCTTTGTTGCTGCTAGTACCACTCTGTGTACACATAGGGTGTGTCTAGACTACTGAGTTTTGTCGACAAAACTATACCAGCGTCTACACTACCGCTGAGTTCTGTCGACATAATGTCGACAGAACTCAGCAGTTTTGCCGACGCTGGTATACCTCATTTTACGAGGCATAACACCTTCTGTCGACAGAGTTCTGTTGACAGCAGGTGTTATTGCCTGTAGGGTTGCGTCTAGACTACAGGGTTCTGTCGACAAAACTTCTGTCAACAAAACGCGGTAGTCTAGATGTACCCATAGGAGCATATGCACCGACTTCCAGATTTCCTAAAGTGCTCAGGTTAGGCCTCTTTACCCAGTGCCCCACCTCCCCCTGCCTCTTCCTACCCCTGTTCCTCCCCCACAAGGACACGCAATATACAAGGGCCAGCCATGTGTTCCTCACACCCACTTCCCCTTATGTCCAGCCCAGAGCTACTGAACTCTTCCTGCCCCATGTTACTTGTGATGGTGGATCTTTGTTCTCCTGCTGTGGCTCCCTCCAGCATGTTCTGCTGCTCTCCCTGGTTGACGATAGCCCAGGGTAGGAGGAGGAGGTCACTGCTTTTAGCTTGTGGTCACTGCTCTATAGCCTTGTATTACAACTGCCTGAGAGAGCCTGGCAAGGAGGCGGGTTCTGCTCCCTGGTCTTCTCAGCTGTTGGGGATCCTGGCACCCAAGCCCAGGCAAGGAGCAGAAGTCACCTCCCCAGCCACGATCTCTCAGGCAGTTGCTGCGCAGGGCTGCAGCAGAGACCATCTCAGTGGCTAGAAGGGCCTGGTCCCACCCCTTCCATTCCCAGCATCTAGGTGATGTGTCACTCAAGCCTGCACACTGCCAAACAGCTGATGATGGCTGGCAGGAGGAACTGGAGAGGAGTGATGGGAAAGAACTGATTGGCAGGTCCCACTCCTGTCGACGGATGGTGGCGGGGAGGCCTGGCCTGCCAGTGGGTGCTCAGCATCCACTCTGGTCTTATGCTTAGGAGCCCTGTTGCCCACCCAGGTGATTTAAAAGGGCCTGGGGCTCCCAGCTGCTGCTGCCATGATAACAGGCAATTTCCCCTTTGCCTCCCCCAATTGACAGGCTTGTGTTCCATTTATTATGGGCAAGGGAACTTCCTCGTAATTCTTTTTCAGGTTAATTATCACAAAGTGACCCTTCATATGGCAATGGTACTTAAACAGGAACTCACCTAATTAGGTTCCAAAGAACTGCTGACCAGTTATCCTCAAACAATGGTAGTAAGTGTCAAGGTAGGTAGATGAGCCAATATTAGTGTTACTGATCAGCTTATTATACCTGCAATTTGCACAGACAGCTAACCTGTGGATTCACATGCTTTTATTACCAGTAACTCCTCTTCCTTTCCTCCCTTTTTTTCAACCGCCCCCTATATCTTTTAGATCGTAAGCCCTTTGAAGCAGTGGCTCTCTTGTCTTTTACTAATTGTGTGTACAGTGCTTAGCATGATGGCGTCCTGACCTAGTTGACGCATTTAGAAACTATTGTAATATCAAAACATTGATGATGGTTGTGAAGACGATGATGATAAATTAAATAATTTGTCTTAAATGAGGACACTGGGAGTCTTATACTGCATGACAATTTCCTGATGAGGATGGATTTTATTATGCTGAAGAAAGTTGCTCTTTTATTTGTTAAATTGGTCTCTACAGTTAGTGAACTTAGAAAAATATTACATCACTTAGTCAATCTGCAATAAGATTGCAATTAGTATTGCAGTCTTTTATGGGTGGAATTTTGGTAATATTTTCACCAATGTGAATTGTTTTTCCATCTAGATTTGCTAAATTGGAGCCTTGGAATTGGACATATCTAATAACTGCATTTCTAAAATTGTCAGCCCTCTTGTCATCCAGCATCGGTTGTAAATTAACGCTGGGAGAACAAAGTTATGTTATGTTACAATACTCATTCAGTAGAATATGCACAATCCAGTGAAGAAATTATTGTCTAATTCATTTCCTTTGTATTCTAATTTACAGTAACATCCTTATTTCTTTAATCTCTTCCAGTGAACAAAATCACTGCAAAAAATCAAGGACATTCTTATAATTCAAAACTGTTTTCTACTATTTTTTATTAGGACCTCATACTTTGAACTCGTATATTTATTACTTTTTTTAATCCAACTGAGACTGATGCAGGGGTAGAAAAATTGAACTCAGTGGTCACTAATGGTCAAGTAGTACGTGGTGTATAACACTGCCATGCAGTTAATTTGCAACAAGCCAGACATTATAGTACCTATCAGTTCAGCAAGTTTGAATGTCATGTACATTAACTTTATACTCACCTATAAATCTTTGAATTTGCAGAGATGCATGATAATTTTTCTCTGGCTTGGTGATAGTTTTTATCTCATATAAAAACTACAAAAAGACTTATATGGCATTGCCCAAGTCTGGCCTGGGGCAGGGATGGGGCCATTGCAGGCCTTATGCTGGTGCTTCCTGGGTCTAACCCAGGGCATCGGGGGCCGAGCAGCAGCTGGCAGCTTCTCCCTGGGGCAACCCAGGGTGGAGGTGCTGCCAGCCAGCTGCTTCTCTGCCCCCATGGTCATTCCACAGTATAACTCCCTCCTACCAGACCCTTCCCTTTCTATTTTATAAGAAACAGTCTAATGGCACATCCCATTGGCCTAGTACAATCAAACCCTGACCTTGGTTTAAGTTATAAGAAGTTGCTGCATTCCCAATTTGGTTGTCTTAGCTCTTATAGTTTAGAAGGAGTTCTTGAACAAACGGAGTCATGGAAGAACAGACAGAAAGCCAGACAGACAGATGCACATTTCTAAAATATAATAGATAGATGTTAATTTCACAGACTATATCTCATGCTGCTTTGAGCCAGGCATTGGCACACACAGTAGCAAGGCACCTAGCTTTGCTACAGATGCTTTAGATCATAACCCCAAACCTCTGAAAAGTTTTAAGGTATAATAGCATATTGATGAAAGGTAAGAAGTCGCCTATTCTTCCTGCCATGTGCTCACAATGGGGAGAGTTCAGATTAGGTAGCATGCCCTTTCAGATGAGGCCTGTCTCACTGTTCTTTCCACTTCCATATCTCATCATGCTGCAATCCTACCACATATTTCATGCTGATGTGAGTAGGATTGGACTTGCTCTGTACTTAGGTGATGGCCTCCAGATATAATCAAAATGCTGAAAAAATGGGGTGAATGATTCAACAGGTGAAGTTCTTCCCTCTTGCAGAACGAGAATCCCAGTATGAGATTGGGGATACAGTGCTTCTGGAGGTATCCTCTGATGGACTGTATATTTGGCTTGGGTCCTGATTCCCTTATATTCAAGTCTCAATTCACCAGTAACTCAGTGTGTCACAGGCTCCATTTTTAAAAAAGAAAGTAATTATTGTACTTACCTAACACAGGAGTGTTGAGTGTTTGTTTAATTATTGTTAGTGCTTTGAAAATGTCAAGTGCTATACACCAGGAATGGAAAGTATTATTATTATTCGTTATTTATTTTTATTATGACTATTCCTCCTCTCAGTTCATTAGCTTAAATAATGTCATGTGTAAGAAGGATTTTGAACTTCGCCCACACAGTGCTGCTGCAGCAGACTGTTACACTTGTTCTAGCTGAATGAACATTTGGTTCTCAGCCAACAGACCTATAATTGTCTCAAGAATGGATCTTTCAGCAATTTTTGTTCTCAGCTTTAACTTTTAATTTTAACATCCCAGAAAACATCAAAATGAAGATAGTATCTTTCCCCAACATCCAGTTTTGGATTATAGAAACATCTAAACTTTGTATTAGTTACTGTATAATCAATATTGTATGTATGTATATATACTGATATATACATTTGGAGCCTATATGTAAAATATAACTAAGTGCCTCAATTTTTTCTTTGACAGCTGATGAAAGTTGTGAATGAAATGTGTCCGAATATCACGAGAATTTACAACATTGGAAAAAGTCACCAAGGACTAAAGTTATATGCTGTTGAGATCTCAGACAACCCAGGAGAACACGAAGTTGGTTAGGATTATATCCTGAATAAATGTATTTCAGGGTGGTTTTATTGTATTTTTTTATTCCACATCTTGTCTGCAGCAGCAATTATCACTGAAGAAACTTATGTTCATTGCTGCAGTGCTTTTGAATATGTGTGGGAGGAATTTCAGTGTTATAGTTCTAAGAGGAGAAGAAAAGACTGAACATAAATAGAAGACATTATAGAAGCGGAATCCAATTCATTAATGCTAATGGGTTAAAATTTTAAAAATTAAAAAAAGGGTAGAGTGGATTTTAGTGCAGTGGAATGTGTTTGGATCACAGCCTTCAAGATAGAAAGAAAGAATGCTCAAGACACTATGAAAGAAAGCTATCAGGATGGTTGACATGATTTGTTCTCTACAAATCCATGCTGATTGTAACTTATCACCTTATTATCTTCCAGATGGATTCCTTAATTATTTGCTCCATTATCTTTCCAGGCACAGAAATGACACTAACTGATTTGAAGTTTCCTGAGTTGTCCTTATTTCCCTTTCTATAGATAGGCACTATATTTGCTCTTTTCCAGTCTTCTAAAATCTCTCCCATCTTCCAGGACTTTTCAAAAATGATAGGTAATGGCTCAGATACCTTCTCAAGCAGCTCCTTGAGTATTCTGGGAGGCATTGCATCAGGCCCTAGTGACTTGAAGACATCTAACTTTCCAAGTAACTTTTAACTTGTTCTCCTATTTTAACTTCTGAACCTACCTCCTTTTCTCCAGCATTCCCTGTGGAACGAGGCGTACAGATAGTTCGGAATAGGAAGCCTATTCCGAACTATCTAGTTCGTGCCGCGTGTAGCCTTGGGCACGGAGTCCGCACTAGCGGACATTTAAAAATGGCGGCGCCCGGCAACATGCGAATGAAGCCCGGGAAATTCATTTGCAAGTTCGTATGACTACATTACCCCGCTAGTTCGAACTAGGGTGATAGTGTAGACATACCCTTAGATACTACCTATGTCATAGTTGTGTGTGTTTATTTACTAACATTTCAAGTTCTTCCCCATATTTTTTGCATCTGTATACAGACAACTAAGATACTGGTTTGAGTTTGCCCTCCTCTCCACACCCAGTTTTGCTTTGTTTCTGCTTTCTCCCTGCTATTACAGCCCATGCTGCCTCCAATGTGACCCATCTCCCAGGTCTCCATGTTTTTCACTAACCTGTGGGCTTTGGTCACTTGCCCCCGTCAAACTAACTTACAGCTCTCCTCACTAGGTTAGCCAGTCTGTATCCAAATACTCCCTTCCTCTTCCCTGATAGGAGGACCCCATCAATGCTTAGCAGTCCTTCCTGGAACAGCAGCATCTCACGGTCAGAGAAGCCAGCAACACTCGTAATCTTGTCAGAATTATGACGTAAAGGACAACAAACATTGTAGCATTTAATGAAACCTTGCCAAATAAGTATGAATAATTATTTTAGATTAATGAATGGAAAAGAGGGTGTGAGGTCAGAGACATATTCTGAGAGTCAGGAATTAGTAAATATTTGTCATGTTATCTTTTAAAAACATAGATCTTTTAAAATGATGCTCTATATCAGTGTTTTACTGTAATGGGAAAATACAAAATGATGCATTTTTATTTTACACTATGTTTTTCAATGGAAAATGTATCCCAAATGCTTTTCATGGTTTCTGTAGGTATTTCCAATATATAATTAAATTGTGGGTAGGAGCAATGGGAAAGACACATTAAGTGGTATTGGCAAGTTAGAAAAGATTAATCCTTTTAGCTGAGATGTTTATTTTGGCGTGTGACTCCCATTGACTCCGTTGGGTTGGATCCCTGAGTTTTTCCTCTGACAACATTCCTGTCCTGTTTTGTTTTGTTTTGAACAGGTGAGCCAGAATTCCGCTACATTGCGGGAGCTCATGGGAATGAGGTACTTGGACGTGAGCTCATACTTCTGTTAATGCAGTTTATGTGCCAGGAATATCTGGCCGGGAACCAACGCATTATACACCTCATTGAGGACACCAGAATTCATCTCCTTCCTTCAGTCAACCCAGATGGCTATGAGATGGCATATGAAGTGGTAACATTACTTGTAATTACCTTATTCATAGGCGCATATGTTACCAATCTACTGTTATCAGGATGATTTTTTGAAAATGACCAATGTGGACATAATCACAATAAACAAAGGCAATAAAGCAACAATCCAAAAGGAAAAGCAAAACAGGAGTGAACCATGTTCCAGATGATCTCAGTTGCTGTGAGAGCATGATACCCAGGACATACACCGTGTAGAGTAGAAGCACAGCTAAGCAAACAAGCATCTCCAATGCACACCAGCTGAAATTTCAGATGGCTTTTACATGCAGCTCAGAGTAGAGAACACTGCCATTTTTCAATGTGGAGTGAACAATCCTGGGAGTATTGCAGGCTCACCAGTGGGGTAGTAGGGGGACAAAGGGGGCAATTGCTCTGTGACCCATTGAGACAGCAGCTGGCAGTCCTGGGCTGTTTAATCACCATCAAAGCACCTCATGGCATGCTCTGTGTGGCTCTGAGGGCTGCCTGCCGGGGAGAGTGCTCCAGGCAGTGCTGACAGGTGGCTGCCCCCAGCCCAACCTTTTCCACTTGAGGCCCTGCCCCTTCTGGGAGAGCTGAGCTCCCCCCCACTTTTCCCAGAGGACTAGCACATTGGTGCCCCCCCAAAGCACTCTGATATACACACCCAAGTATAAAAATTGCCGGCCCCCTGAACAGGTGCAGAAAGTGATCAGAGTTACTCAATAGTGCCAAGAATCCAAAAGGACCAGGAGTTTGTAAATCTCAGTATCAACCTGCAAAGGTTCCCTCTCCATAAAGGAAGTATCTGTCATCTCTACCATCTCGTCTGGGAATTTGCCTCCATAACTTGTTCCAGATGACTGTTCTTTTTATTTTATTTTTTAATTGGCATAGGTACTAGATGATTACAACTTTCTTTCTTCCAGTTCTGGACTTGTGTGATGAACATCATAGTCAAAACCCATAATAATTGAGTTAAACCAAAATTATATTCATGAATTTGAGTAATTAATATGAGGTGATATGAATGAAACTAGTCAAATGAAATGTTTGAGATGAATGCAGTTAAATATTACAGAATTTAATTTAATTCATTTTGGGGAGGAGTTGATAGCTAATAGTTACTAAATGATGATGATCTTATTTTAATATATTACCTTTAATTTCAAAGGATCTTCAAGTCCTTTATAAACTTTACTGATTCTATCTAGACCTGTGGATAATTGTGTGTGTATCTTTAACACAGTGGGTCACATCCTTGGCCTCTGCTAAGGTTGCTTTGTACTCTTAAAGTGTCACAAAGAAACCTTAAACTGTCCTTAGAAGGGCTGCTGGGGATTCCTCCACATAGTCAACTTTATACCATTTTCACTAGTATGGAGGGACCATATCAGGGACAAGACAGGATCGGGCTGGTGCACACACAGTCTCATCCAATCAAGTCCATTGGTGTGCAGCTTCACAGTGCTATGCCTTCAAGTCACCTATAGAACACTATAATTAGAATTCATTCTTCTGCCACTGAAGTACAGCCACTTTGGGATAAAATTCAGTACAGACAGTAACACTCCACAGCACTATTGGACAGAGATTGAAGAACAGAGTAGTTCATCCAGTTGGAACTTCAGCAGAAAGCTTAGGTAGACAGAATCTAATTCCCAGTGCTAGCATTTGACCAAGATAGTAAGCACTTAGGATAGTTTACTCCTAGAAGAGAGTTCATTGGGATCCAATGTAGTTACAAAGATTTTTGAATGCCTTTTCTAACAGAAAGATGCATGTAACATCAGATATTCAATGTAACATAAGGTTGACTGGAGGTAACATACTGAATGATTTGAAAATTGTGTCACAGGGTTCGGAATTAGGAGGCTGGTCTTTAGGAAGATGGACTAAGGACGGCATTGACATCAACAATAATTTTCCTGATTTAAATACCATGCTTTGGGAAGCTGAAGATAGGAAAAAGTTTCAGAGAAAGGTCCCAAATCATCATATTCCAATTCCAGAATGGTACCTTTCTGAAAATACTACAGTAAGTACAAATAGCTCCAGAGAATATGGGAGGGACAAAAAGAGGGTGGGATGAACCTGTGATAAACCTTATGACATATTTGCATAAAAGTTTTTAAGATCTTACTTCCTATTCATCAGAAACTTAAATCAGGAAGAGCGATGATGAATGATAGACTGTTAGAACATATAACAGGGCATATTAAAACGTATATTCACCTCCCAATTTAGATTAACTTGATTTTTAATAGTGAACATTATTGTGATTATATTAATTTTGTAGGTATTAGTTTATATACCTGGGCTCTTTTCTATTTGTTTTGGAGAGACTGAGTGTTTAATCATTTTAATGAGCCATCACCATAACTTTGTGAGATCCTCTTTGGAAAGCACAAGATTAGACATCAGGCAAATTTCCCCTAGGTTTCCAACTGAATTTCATTAAAAAATCATAACATCAAAAATCTCTTAAACATCAGACTCCATCTTACATGCAAAACCATCCCAATGGCCAGTGTCAATTGCATGTATTGGATAGTAATGCAACAATATTACGTTATTTCTGTATCTCTTACTTTAACCATGGCCAGTATTTTGAATGGATGAACATAGCCATCTTGAGAAGAAATGAGGGGAAGGCACTTCACCCTTGTGAACTCTGTATGATTTAGAAATATTTTCATACTTAAGCCTCTTCAGTTTGCAAATTCTTTC